AGGCCTCAGACTCAAGGCACTCCTCCTGCCTCAGGCTTTGAGTGATGGAATTATAAGTGTGTATCACCATACCAGGCATGATTTCTTTAAAATATCCTCAAACTGCTTATCCTACTGAGTCACAGAAAGATGGAATTCAGTGGTCCTGAATTCTAGTCCTTGTTCAGTTACAGACTAGGATCATGATCTTAAACCATTTCCTCATCTCTGATGTTACTATAGGCAGGAGCAGCTAAAACAAGTGACTGTCCAATAATGGTATAACAGAAAGGCTATGTGGATTTACAGCAACATAAATGATTCTTTTTTTTCGGTTTGAGACAGGATCTCACATAGCCCAAGCTGGCCTTGAACTATGTAGCCGAGGATGACCTTGACCTCCTCGTCTTTCTGTCTTCTAAGTACTGGGATTACAGGTGGGCAATACTATGCCCAGCTTACTGGCTTTTTCTCGTCAGTAAAAGGTGATCATTCTTTTGGGGAGAGCCTGAGACAGTCACATTCTGTAGCCCAGTATGGCCTTGAGTTCATAGTGATCCTCCTGCCTCAAATGCCCCAATATTAGGATTATCGGCATTAGGGAAGGTGAGCATTTTTTATAATGCTTATTTTATAGCATAAATACAGGAAATAAAGGATAAATGGAGTTTATAGCACACATTTAGTTTTTTTTTTTTTTTTTTTGGCCAGACATGGTGATATAGAATTACCAGTACTTAGGAGGCTGAGGCCACAAATTCATTGTCAACCTTGGCTACATAGCAAGTTCCAGGCCAGCCTCTGCTACAGAATAAGAGCCTGTCTCAAAAATAATTTTTTTCTCCTTGCCAGACATAGTGGCACATGCTTGTAATCTCAGCACTTGGGAGGCTGAGGCAGGAGGATTATGAGTTTAAGACCTGCCCAAGCTACATAGCAAGATTCTCATCTCAAATCTTAAAAATAAGTTTTCCTTCTTCATTTTTGTTTTGTATAAGTATCCCATCTTGGTTAGGATTCAATTCAATCAATACCAATTTCTCTTTAAAAAAACAAATAAGAACAAAGTAAAGTGTGTATGTACATATTCACATAATGCCACAATGGAACCCATTACTTTGTATGCCTAAAAATACACACATAAAAAAGTCTTCATTTGAAATCTCAACACTTGGGGAGGGCTGAGGTAGGAGGATTATTCTGAGTTCAAGGCCAGTTTGTGGGCTAGCATGAAAAATAACACAAAGAACAAAACCAAACCAAATAAAAATTTTTTTTACAAAAATATTTTTATTAATTTTTTAATGTGTGTGAGTGTATTGCCTGCATGTATGTGAGTGCACCCATGTCACGCAATGCGGAGGAGGTCAGAATAGAGTTTCGGATTCCCCTTCGTAGCTGTCATGTGGGTGCTGGGAATCAAACTCGGGTCCTCTGCAAGAGCAGACAGTGTTCTTAACTGCTAAGGTATCGCTCCAGCCCCCCAAATAAAATTTTTTTAAAAAGGCTTGGACATGTATGGACATCATCCTAACGTTAAGTCAAAAGTCACCTGGAACATGGTGACACTTCCATTAGAGACTGGACATGGAAAGACTCAGATCAAAGGCTTCCGTTTAACAATCTGAGCTAAGCTCTCCAAAACACACAGAATAATCATTTCTTGACTATTTACATAATGTCACAACCTTAATTACTGCAATCCAAATCAAGAATGAGTCAATTTCCTTTGGTTCAAATACCACATTTAAAAAATATTGCAACATTTAGTGAGAAGTCTAAGACACTAAAGGGTTCGGGAAGTTAAGACTCCTTGGACCTGTGAAATTGCTGGCAGACAGAATAATGAAAAGTCATGCCCTTTCTATGAGAAGGAACTGGGCCTAACTAAGAAAGGAGGGGGCTTCTGAAATAAAAATGGCAGCTAGAAAATTGTTAAGACTGGGGCTTTGGTGATTTCTTCTATCAAATCTGGTTCTCTCTTCCCTATATAAAGAAAGAGACTAAGCTGAATCCCAGGCACTAGAGAGGTAGAAGGATCAGAAATTCAAGGTCAGCCTCAACTGTCAGTTCTCAGCCAGCCTGGGATAGAAGAAACTATCTCAAAAATAAACACAAAAAATAAAAAGAACACACAGGACTTGATACCATCCCTGCACCCACTCTTTATGCTACCCTGCATCTTTGAATTTCCTCAACTGGCCAATGAACGCTCCCAGGGCTCTCAGGGGTGCTGTTATACTTGCCTTCCTGCTGCCTGCAGTGTCCCCCACCAGACAAGTAGATAGGTCTTTCTTTTACTTCCTTCTGCTCACAAGCCATCTTGCCAGTGAGATTTTTCTGTCATAATTCAAGTTACACCATTTATTCCCAGCTTATTTTCCTTCATAGTAATTACCTAGCATAATAGTTCTACTTTTTAGTTCATTTCTATCATTTCCTTGCTAGAATAAAAGCTTTGTATCTCATTGTTACTGCTAAGACAGTGTCTGGCATCACGGACCCTCAATACATCAATATTTACTGGAGTAAATGAAAAGGCCTCAACAAACGACAAATTATTTATTCCATTTGTAAAGAAACCAAAGAAAAGAAGCAACAGAATTTAGTATATAATAAGATGATAAGTGCTTAAGGAAGAATATCATGACAACATTAAAAAACATTAAGGGTATAGTTATGGCCTGTGATCTACTCTTTCAGTGTTCTCAAACTCAAGAATACCTCAGAATCACCTGACTGCTTGTTCTAAGTGCGTATTCCCAGGCTTGCCTCTGGAAAGCTGACTGGGTATTTGGTGTGGATGGCTCACAGCACAGCCCTTGAGAAGCATGGCCTCAACATCACTTCTTATTGCATGTGAGACTTTGATAAAGGCAGCTCTTGGCCACAAAGCTCTCCAAAGTACAGTTAATTGACACCATTGTATAATAAGCACTGACTGTCAAAAGTTCAGACATGCATGAGAGATAATCTTTTGCACTTGCACGTGTGTACTTTGACAAAAGGGTGCGTCTCTAGTCATAAAGATCTCCTGTGGTGCTCAGTGTTGTACCCAGGAATGTTGTTATTCTAGGTAAGTACCTTAGTTCAAGGCCATTAAATCAAGTACATACTAAGTGTGCTTAACCCACTGCAAATTCTGGTTTTGTAATACTGTATTCATAAAGCTAGTTGCATGTTTTTCCTTAAGTTCAGACCTACTTCATACTTTAACCACACAGAAAGCCACATGTTAGATAAAATATACAGCATGATTTTTTCATAATAAAAACAAATCATACTATTTCCAATTTGATCTTGGATAACAAAACAAACTCAGACCCTACCACAGAACAATCAGGAAAGCTACTTAAAGTGTACCTAAGAACAAAGACTGCTTTTTACATTAAAACAAACAAACAAACAAAAACCCCTTAAAGTCAGATGCAGTTGTGCACACCTATAATTCCAACAGCATGAGAGGCTGAATTCTGAGTTCAGGCCAGAGTCTATATAGAAAGAGTCTCTCAAAACAAGCCAGCACTTAGGAGGCAGAGGCAGGAACATCTTAAGTTTCAGGTCAGCCCTGACTACACAGTCAGTTCCAGGCCAGCCTAGGCTAGATCAGGCCCTGTCTCTAAAAAATGCTTTTTTGTTGTTGTTATTTTATTATTTTTATTTTATGTGTATGAGCATATTGCCTGCGTGTATGTTAAATGCACCTGTGTCGTACCAATGCCCGTGGAGGTCAGAAGAGGGTGTAGGATATCCTGGAACTGGAATTAATGGATGGTTGTTAGCCACCACCCAGGTGCTGGGAATCGAACCTGGGTCCTCTGCAAGAGCAGTCAGGGCTCTTAACTGCTGAGTCATCTCTTCAGCCTCCCAAAATGTTTTTCTTTTTTGTAATGCGGTGGGGGGGGGTCTTTGTTTCTTGCCCCCAGAAGCCAGCTAAGGAGGTGCTGTGATTCTAGTACTAAAGGGCCTAAACAGACATTCTACTACTAAGCTCTTCTAGCCCCAAAGTCATTTCTTTAAACATTAGATCAGCAACCCTCAAAAAATATAGGTCTTTTTGCCACTTACTCTACTGAAGGGCTACACAAAGCAGCTTGCTACACTGTGTCAAGAATGGAACTGTGCAAACAGATGTTTTCTACATAGTCCAAGGACCCTAACTCATAGGCTTTTACTCAGGAAAAGTTTCTGTTTTTCTAATGTAGAAACAGCTGGTGCTTACCTCTCCAGGGAAAACAGTGGTTTCCAAAGGCCACCAGAGGATGGGAGTGATTATTTTTTCTTCTTTTTCATATGAACATGTCTCTGGACTCAACTCTTGTTCCAAAGCCTGAAATGCTCTTTACACATCTTGGTAAGAGCAGCCGTCAGGGACAGAAAGTCACGGTGCCCAGGCAAGTTCACAGACCTGCCTACAAGTGTTCATTTGCTAAGCACTAATGTTGAAATGCACGAAAGAAATTCCCACAGAGGTTTAGGGAGTCATTGGCCTGGACTATCTTTACAGTGATTTCAAACTAATTATGGACTAAGTAACATACCACAGTATATAACTATTTCTTGAATGAGTAATTTAGCCTAGAATGCAAAGCCCTGGGTTTAATCCCTAGCACCAATAAAGAAAAAAAGGTAATTTATTACATGTAACTCCAATTTTGGGTTGTTTATTTTTTTGTCTTTTTGAGACAGGGTCTCCCTGCAGCCCCAGCTAGCCTAGAACTCACTATGTAGACCAGGCTGGCCTCGAGTGCTGGGATTAAAGGTGTGCACCACTACACCTGGCATAACTCCAGTTTTGCAAGAACACTTCTAGGGATGTCTCATAAAGAGCTACATTAAACTGACATTATTTTTGCTAGAGATAATGCAAAGCTAGTAAAATGTGGGCTCTTCTGAAGAAATAAAAAAATAAGGGACCATGCCACCTGAATACCCGCCCCCCCCCCTTTTTTTTGTAAGAGGGAATGTCCTGCTAAATTCCAAACTAGTGGTAGGCCAACTGGCTTTCTCAATAAACTCACCTTCTCTCCTTGGAGTGATGGGACTGAGTCCCGCAAACTGTGAAAGCTGTCTTTGATGTGGTCCCTACGTTTTCGTTCCAGTGCATTATGATGAGCCCGTTTGTCAGCCTAGGAGAGTGGAGAAAGAGCATGTTAGGGATGCCTGTCCTATTACAGGTGGATGTGGTACAGCCTGGAAGTATATGCAGTCAGCGCTGTCCAGGGCGAGTGGACTGGAAAGATTTGTCGAGCGAGGTGGGCAGTTAGGAGTCTCCAGAATTAGGCTCTGTTAAAGGGGGAGAAAGGGATGAGCAAGGCTTTCGACAGGAACATCCAAAGTAGCGTGATGGATCCAGCTCATGCACAAGTAAGATCAAAGTTATTCATGGGGACAAAATGTGAGTCTCCTGCAACAGTGTCCCCAACTTACTTACGTGACAGAGCAGCTGCCAGTCCACAGTTGGGATGTAACTAAGGAAAGTGCCAGTGGGCCCTTTCATAAGATATGGTCACCACTATGAAACTTTGGGGGGAGGGGGTGGTGTGATCAGGTGCAAAAGCACTGGTGCAATGCTTCTATCCACATGAAACCCCCCAATGTCAGGCTCTGCTCTGATGTCTCTGCTAAAGGCCACTCATCCTCTCTCAAATCATATCCTCAGTGCATATCCTCTCATCAAACCATCCAAGAGAAGCCAAAACCTCTGCAAAACCCAGTTGCACGGATTCAGGTTCACTAGGACAGAGCTGACAGACATGCCAACTGCATTTGGGCTTCCTCTGGCAAAGACTGAGCCAGAAAGGCAGTTCTTAGGTGGCAGACCTGCTGATACCTACATGCTTTCAGTAAATTCCCTCGTGCACTTTCAGCAGGCCAGGCTAATTTGGTAATTTTCCAAACACTCAAACTAGCCTTTAACCTTTCCTACTTGGAAGAACAATCAGCTGGAGAGGACGAGGACTGCCAACCAATCAGGAAGGGTAAGGCAGCAGAGTACAGTGCTGAGGAAGCTTCATCAGGTCCCCATCAGAAGGACATCCCCTCTAAGTGAAACACAAGTGCTTGCTTAAGGAAAAATTTCATCACACCTAAACTCCAGGAATTTAAGAAAATATTCTCTGAGAATTTACCTTGCTTGGGACAAGGCTGCACTGAGTTAGCCTAAAGAGTCCATCTGTATATGGGAAAATGAGCTGGCTTTAATCTGCCCAGACAGTGTGACAGGAGTTTGAAGACTTAGCAACAAGCACAACTTAGCTTAACAATGCCACTTCCAATGAATCCTTGTACTAGAAAAGATGTACAGACAAAAATCTATAAAGAAAGAGTTATGAGAATAAAAGGATTTGAAATTCTTCAATTATCAAACCCTGAAAGTCTGAGTCACTCTACAGGAAGAGCCTGGAGCCCCTGTGGTCATTCTGGTTCCTTCCTGCTTTCTCAAGAACCTCATCTATGGTTCTGTTGGATACCTGGTTCCCATCATAGCCATAGTCTCCTAGAACATGTCACTCTTTTTAGTAGTAAAAACCAAGAGCGCTTCTAAAGTGAGGAGCACTTGTAAAGTTATCCCATCTGAAGCTTGAGTGCACTATACAGTAAAATATCTGAACTACAGTTATATAGAAAATAGAATGAGGACTCTCAAAGGATAATCAAGCAGGAAACTTGGCTAGAGGTAGGATCTGTATCATACAACACCAGAATAAGAAATCACAGCTGCAATACAACATAATTTGAAGAACTAAACATATGAAGTACCCAGATAAAATGGCCTGGACAATATTTGCCATGCGTTGGCCCTCTGGTGTTTGTTCTATAATCTCCAAGATGATCTATTTACATGCAAATTAACTGCTCAGCCTTGGTCTCCAGCAGCAGCCCAAGATACTCCTGTCTACTAAATCACCCCATTCCTGGCCTTCCTCCCAGCTAAAGGGCTGAGCACAGAAGCAGTGACACCAGTTACCCACAATCCCTCTTGTTGATACAAATAAAATCCCAATTGTCTAGGTTTGCTCTGGGAGAACCCTGCAAATCTCAAACAGCTAGAACTGAGTTGGACCTGGTCTCATGTGGGCCTGTGCTGCAGGCATGGAGCTAAGCATAATAACACCAAAATCACCCCCAGGATGTACTATCCCCTTCTATTCGCTGAGCACTGAAAGGACTCAAATGGACAAGCCTTTTGGTTAGAGGATTGTAAGTGAACTTGGCTATGGACCATGAGCAGAAATCTTGGCTTCTCATCTGGGGAGCCAGCCAAGTTAGAAGTTGGCTCAACAAGCGAAGGCAGCAGTCCACTGCCTGGTAGAGAGCCTGGGCCGGGGACTGTTGTTCTCCAAGCAGTGGATGGAATTTCTGTGGTGGTTCCAGACCCAATTTAACTAGCAGAACAGTGGAATCTTAGACCAATCTGTCCTGCCATGTCTATCCCTCAGCTGTTCTGCTTAACCAGAGTCAATGTTAACGCTCTTGAGACAATGGCAAGGATGCATTTGTTTCTCCTCTTCCCCAAGCCTCATTTGCAAAGGCAAGTGAAAAACATGCAGAACATGCCAACTCCAAGCAACTCTGAATTAAATGACATTACTAGTGCTTACAAGAGCACATGAAAAACTGAAACACCTTTACACAAGGCTGAGAATTCTCTCTGGGAAACACTTCTAAGCTACAGAGCCTTCTAGTCTGATGCCCCCACCCTCCCATGATGAGCCAGACAGCAGACCAACTACACTGCATTGCTAGCCACCTTCTTTCACTGGCAGTCCTTTCCCAAAAGGCCAAGATTTCAGGGTTGAGAAAGAATAGGTGAAGGCTCTTAGTGTAAGGTACTGGAGATCCTCCCACAAAAGTCTTTGTTAAGCAGTCTAACAAGATCAGTGGAACAAATCAAACAACTCAGATGAGTTTTTCTCTCACCTGTACTGAGGACATCTGTACTACGGTAATAAAAACACTGATATTGCCTGTACCCTTGCAGAATTACACACAATTCTAGGAGATAAGAGAGGTCTTCTTGGGCTGTGCTGCAGGTTCCCAAATAACCCCTCTAAACATCCTTTAGGAACAGTGGCTGGATACTAGCTCTTCAACACAGAATTTGCAATTTCTGCCAGAAAGCCCTTTTTCGTTCGGTTAGTTTGCACACTGCAGCCTAACAGAAATACTGAGGGGCTATGTAATACCAAAGAGTGGCCCACAGATGGTCAACAGGAACTACGGCACCAAATCACTTCCAGCTTTGACATCTTTGCCAAGGTTTTTACTCAGCTTCAGAGCTATATTTCTACCACTTTCCATACTGGCAGCCAGGATAAAAATTTTCATCTATAATTTGTCCAACTCTCACCCTAACAAACATATGTACCAAGTGTTAAATGTTGAAGGCAGGCATTTTGTTGGTCAATAAGTTAGTTGTTAAACTGGCAGGAGGTCACAAAAGCTAAGGAAACCTGTTCAGAATTGAGGAAATCTCTTAAAATTATTTCCTTTCAACTTACTGCAGAGAATCCATCTTCATTTAAAGCATTTCACTAGTTAGTGACCTTATTTCCCACAGGATCTGGGCAAACAGCATAAGAACTGCTTCATTATTCAAGAATGGACAAGGTTTTCCAGAACAGCCCCACTGTTATAAGATACCTGACACCCAACTGTTACTCTTATAAGGGGAAATCTCCTCAATGCTGATGCAGAAAATCCTCAACAGAGGGAATTTGTGTTGCCCACTGAATATTTACTGCTTTTAAGAAATTTAAAGGTTGCACTTTAGTGGGAAGACAGTTGCGTGTGATTATCAAGCTATTCTTACCAAGAACACTGAAAATACAAAGGCTCCAAATTCTTATCCACAAGTATCTATTACTTCTGAATGATTACAACCAGATACAATAAAACAATTTCTATGCAACTTAAAATGTTTATTCCAACCAACACAAAAACTGAAAGATGAAGTATCAGGTAATTGAGATGAGATAAACTCACTAAAGTCCCTGTTAGGAAGACATTAATTTCCCAACACTTCTGCTTGAAGCACATTGTTGGAATACCTTTCTGTGAGCAATGAATGCACTTGTTTTGAGGCTTTTCCCATCTTTTAGTGCCTAAAACAACCTGCAAACATGATAAGCCACATACATTATACTCTAGCCATCCAAGAGGAAGAATTCTTTGGTTAGGGAATTTTAATTGAACTTGGAACTTGGGCCTGATGGCACATGCCTGTGATTCAGGCCGTGGAGAGGTGGAGGCAGAAGAACTGTTCCTAGTTCAAGATCAGGCTAATAGCAAGACTCTGTCTTGACACACATCTCCCTTCTGCCACCCCAAAAAAGAAAGAAAATCAAATAGGATTCATTGATCAATTCTATCACCCTTACCAGTCTCTTGATAAAACAAAGTACTTTTTAACCTTAAAAATTCTTTACCTTTACAGGCAGAATCAGGGAAGGAGACCTGCTATGTGAACATTTCAATGTCAACACTCTTAAGCAGAAACAAAGAATATGCACCTTGCAGCACTTCTGTCCCAGGTAAAACAGACTCGCTTCCTGAATGAATTCCAATCTCAAAAGTGGCCAAATTCATTCCCTTCTGAATACAACATGATTCCCAAAGCAAAGAGCCCTGAGAAGTTAAAAATACTTTAAACCAGAAAGGTCCCAAAGTGGAATAGCACAAATCTATTTTAAATCTCTAATAGGTACTGTAACTGCAATGTGCTCAGCTGACTCAAAGGGCATTACACTGGGACAAAACATTGGGAAAGTCCTCAGGTTTCCTGACCAACAATAATCTTACATTTCATGTAAACTTTCACTCCATCCCAAAGAAATTTCCCAATCAGAAATAAATGAAACCTTTTGAATAAAATATTTGCCTCAAATTTATCTTTAAAATACAACCTTTTCCCTTAAAAAAAAAATAAGAAAAACATAGCACCACCAGTGGGCTTCTGCACATATGGAATTTAGTAATAGTGTTTGCGGTTACTTCCTTTAACAAAGCTTGCTGTTCACCAGAGACGCTGTTTTCTATTTGTTCAACATTGGTCAAATCAGTTTCACTTTCTGTTACAGTTAGCTGTATTACCTAATACTGAATAGTCTCTATGTTTCATGTGGTAAGGCCTAGATATTATACGTACATTGTAAATTATGATCATCTTTGCATATTAGGACTCACAGAACATTTTCCAAATAATTTTGTTTTTTGTGTCAGGGTCTTACTCTGTAGCTCAGCTCAAAAATCATTCTTCCTGTCTCAATATCCAGAGTGCTAGGATTATAAGCATGAGCTACCATACCTGGGTTCCAAATAACTTTTGCAAGTTCTTCTGCAGTCCTAAAAGCTTAATTGTTCAGAGTCCACATCTTTTCCTGAATGATTTCCCCCAGACAAAACTTAAGAATAATTCCCCCCATTAAAAAAAAAGAAGTGTTAGTATTTACACTAAATTTCAGCAAACAGATATACTTTGGTTGGAGGGACCCTCTACCTACCCACTCATACTTACTTGGTATTCTGCAAAATTTGTCTATAATATACATGCCTTTTCTCTCTATGCTACTGTGATTAATTTAGACCAGATAATATTAAAATCTCAACAAGTAAGTATACCAAATTAAAATAAAGGATCTCAAAGTTCAAATCCTGGCAATAAGAAAAAAAGTCCCAAAACGAAATGAAAAAAATCTAAGCAACAGAAAAGGAAAAGCATCCAGACAAAACAAGATCAGCATCATAGAATAGAAGCCTTTTCATAATTTAGTAAATGAATTTACACCAACACCCAGGTGGATGAGTATTTTGAAGTAAGAAAGCTTTCAAGAACTGTAAGTCAAATTTTCACTTAGAAAACTTATTTCACTGAAAAGTCAATCTAATTCCAACTCGAAGGACAGTTACTCAAAGGAAGTCTTACCAATTCTTGCCCTCTAACCCTGATCAAGCCCTGGGGAAGACTCGGCGAAAAACTGAAAAAATTTTATAGAAAGGGCCGAAGCGCAAAATACTATGCCCACATTAAGGATAACAATAACTGAAAAACAAAACATAAAAGGAATACGATTTTCAAATATATCTGACAACATTTCAAAAAGCAATAAAACTATTTTTAGTAACTATTACTCAGGAAAAATTCTTAAAACTTCTGGAATAACTATATCCTCAGATTTTATGTGAACAATCAGTTCTCAAAAAACAAAACCTGTACCATCTCTGAGGTTTAAACTCCAACAATAAAAAAAATTCACTGTCTATGTCCCAAGACAAAATGAAAAAAATCTAAGCAACAGAAAAGGAAGAGCATCCAGAGAAAACAAGATCAGCAGCTGAGGAACTGGCTGCACCCGGGAATTATTAAATTCTTACACCAGCAACACTAAAGTGAAATCCTGCAACCAGTTTCTTCAGTAGTAGGAACCGAACCCACGGCCTCATGAAAGCTATGCAAGTGTCCTACGGACAGAGAAAGACTGATAGATAAATTCTTGATTGTTTGGACTGTCTCTGTAGTCCAGGCTTGCCTCAAAATCATGTCTCAGCCTCCTAAGTACTGGGCTTGCAGGACTGGATCACAACACTGTTTTTCTTTTTTGTTTTGTACTTTTATTTTGAGGCAGGGTCTCACTGCATTGCCCAAGTAGGTCTTGTATCTGTGATCTTCCTTCCCTGGCATTCTAAGCAGCTGGGTTTACAGGTCTGAGCTATCAGGCACTGCTGCATACTACAAACTCTTAAAGCCCCCAAACAGCTGATCCATGTTGCATTTTAAAAATCAGATAAAAGGGGCTGTTAAGAAGGCTCAGTGGGTAAAGGTACTTGCCGCCAAACCTGACCACCTGAGTTCAATCTCCAGGATCCACATGTTAGAAGTAGAGAACAGACTTTCCCAAGCTGTTTCTCTGACTTCACACATGAGCCAAGGCATGGGCATGCCCTCCTAGAATAAATGTAACTTAAAAAAAGCAGTTAAATACATGAGGGGTTGTATTTGTAGCTCAGTGGTAGAGATTGCCTAGTGGGCTCAGGACCCTCGGGCACAACCTAAAATTAAATAAACAGAAATACAAAACAAAACAAAAATCCAGGACAATCTGGGTTTCTAATTTCTTTGGCAGTGGGAAGATCCAGGGAATATGGCTCAGTGGTAGAAGGTATAACCCCCAGTATGGGGAGGGGAGGGAATATCCAGGAAAAATAAAGATCTGACAATGCGGAGCTCTCTCACATATCCACCACTGGAGTTAGGTAGTAGCTGCCTTTTTAGAAGTGGAGTAGATTCTTCAGCACCCTAGTCTCCACCTCTTCTCTTTTATTCTTGTCTGTCGCACTACCTGGCCCTCATAGGCAAAAGGGATTTTGACCCTCACTCTATATGACTCTTACCATATCTTAACTATCAAATATCACATACTTGTCTCTCCTCTCTGATTTGGATTTATTCTGGATTTATCCCTTTTTTCTCTATATATACACACTTAAGTCTCAGATTCCAATAACATTGAGACTGTGGTGTCAACCTAAATCCACAGAACCACTTACAGAAAACATTAATAATCAAAACCCTAAGAAATTATTGATAACACTACATGGGCTCATCTGCGCCTTCCAGCAATGCTCTTGCAATACCACTTCAACATTTTTTTTCTTCTGAAATGGAGAGTCAGACCATGAGAAGCTGTTATACTTTCAGGATGTAACTTCTGGCTCCTTTCTATTTCAAATTTCTGTATTCAGAACACCAAGCTTTACTACATTCTATGGGTCTGCAGCAGTCACATGACTTGGTTAAAGGCGATTATTATATGTGGGTGCAGCTTCACACAACTATGCAGATATGGTTTAAAACCGACTTGTTCCTAAATAACTCTTCTGACCAGCCTGCTCTGAAATACTACTACCATTCACTAAAGAACGCTTTTCATTTCTCACATGCGGCGGCTGGCTCCTTCAATTGAAAACTATACAATTCAGTTCGCTGCACACAGCTCCTCTCAATCACTGAAGTATTTACCACTCGAGAATCTAGAATCATGGGATCTGGAAGCCCTCCCTCCAACCCCAGAAGGCTCCATCTCACCTTAGCGGTTAAGAGAAGCGTTTACTAGAATATTAAAAGTAATAGAACGATCTCTTTTTCTCTCTGACCCCAAAAAGGACTAAAATTGAACGGAAATGAAAACGAAATGGAGAGTAGGAGACGTACCGCAGATTGAAACCTCGGTTGCTCTTCCTGGAATAAGAGAGAAAAAAAAATAGAAAATATAGAAGTTATTTTTACACTTCGCATTCAATAATAAGAAAGAAAATGCCGGCGGCGAAGGAAGCGGCGGGTGGGGAGTCAGCCCGACACCCCTCCCTCCCTCCCCAGCGGGATCCGGCAGCCTAGGAGGGGTTCCCGGGCGCCGCCTCTCCTTCCGGGCTCCGAACCCGATCAGGGGGGTCCGGAGCACTGCCGCCTCCTCGACTCGGACACCGCTCGGGCGTCTAGAACCTCCAGCTCCTCACTCCCCAGGATCCACGGGTCACGGGAGGTGGGGATCGTGACCCAAGGAGCAGGTCCTGAGCGCTGTCCTCTTGCCCAGGATCCGGATAATGGGATTCTGGGCGCACCCCATTCGCGTCCTGCGATCCCAAGTGGGGTAGGGTGGAGAGGGAGGCCTCGGCACCCTCCCGAGGAGGAGGAGGTGGGGGTCCCAGAGGTCGCGTGTCGGCTCCCACCTCCAGCTCTAGGAGGCCGCTCGGGCCAGGAGACTGGAGGGGAGCGAGCCCCGAGCGCAACGCAGGCGGTCCCAGCCCGGGGAAGGGGACGGAGGAGCGGCTGTCCGGGCCCCCTCCCGCCGCCGTCCCGCGGAGAGCCCCGGCCGCCGTCCCCGCCAGACAACCCCAACGGGAAGGAAGAAGCCCCGGGACTCACGTCGCTCTCCACCTCGATGTCATCGTTATCGCTCATTTCCTACGGCCCAGGGAGCGGCCACTGCAGCGGCGGCAGGGGAGGGGAAGGGTGGAGGGGAGGGGGAGTCACCGACAACAACTAGCCGAGTGCCCCCACGCACACACTCACTCACTCACTCGCTCTCTCACTCACACACACACACACACACACACAACACGGGCGACAACCACCTCCTCACTGCAGCACCGGATCAACGGCGGCACGCACGCCCGGTCGGCCCCCCAACACGTGACAGGGCTCGCTGCGCCGGGGCAGCCGAGACTTGTAGTCCTCGAGCTACTGAAGAGCGAGCGGAGCGGCGTCCGAGAAACTACAAATCCCATAAAGAACCGCACCCAGTCTTCGCCAGTCCGGCTTGTTGACAGAGCCCAAGGCGCCTGCGTGCCTCGTGGGGGCGGAGAGCAGTTGCGCGGTGCCTGCTGGGAGACGTAGTCCACAGACCGCGAGTTGTCAGGAGATTTTTTTTTTTTTTTTTCCTCCACAGGCGGCCGAGAGGCTGCTGGGAAGACAGGACACGTGGAGGGAGCCCGGCTTCTGGAGCTGACCACTGTCTGAGCTCTGAGCTCTGGGCTCCGGGCCCAGGGGACTGGGTGGAGGCTCGGGGGGAGAAGCTGGCTGCTAAAATAACGCTGTCTCTCCTTGGCGAGACTGGTTTTACATTGTCTTATTTAATGCTGGAACCGCTCCAGTTGCGCCCTGGGGCGTAACCCTCCCCGAGGAAATCGTGCTGCTGCGGACCCGGGGGCGCGGTCCGCATACCCACACAGACCCTCGGGGGTTTGGTTTGGGCATTGCTGGACAGGCTAGAGGACCGACCTCGCGGTGCCACCCCTGGCCTCCAGGATCTTGTATTCATTTGTCAGAGAGGACCGTCCTTAGGCACGTGAGACTTGTAAATTTACAGAACCTCGCGTAGGTGGAAGTAAAAGCATCTTCTGTGTGTGCCGAAGCCCGTGCAGCTTAGGGAGTGCCCCAGTTCAGAGAACCATAATTAAGACCTGCAAAAAAGGATCAAAACGGGAAATTTGTGCAGCTCCCTATCGAGTTAAAATCATATTTATACACTTAGACATGACGTGTAATTACATCCACCCCACCAGTATTTATTGAACACCTAACATGTGGAGCACGGGAATACCATATTGTGTAAGGCTAAGCCGGTCCCTGCCTTCATGGAGATCACAAGTGGAAGCGAAAACCAGACTGCCCCACCACCATTTTCGATGTGCATCAAGTCTTAAGAGAAAAGAAAAAAAAAAAAAAGACACCCACCACCATCAGAGAAATTTACCAAACTACTCTTTTACAGTCTCCAAAATGAATGAAATCTTGGATTTGTTCCATGAGTTACTGATTCCTGAGTGAAAATCATTTTATCCGACTGTTGAATGTGGAAACTTGGTCGTGCAACACAATCTTTGTGACATATATCCTTTTATGAATGTATAGTTATAGTTCTTATTGAAGAAATGAATGTAGGTTGGGTGTAGTGTCACTAAGGAGGTTGAGGCAGGAGGATTACCACAAGTTAGAGGTCAGCCTGGGCTACATTGTGCTTTTTAGGCCAACTGTGGCTCTATAGGGAGACTATTGCAATCAGTCACTCATTCTTTTTCAATCTAGTTTTTAGTAAGAGACTGTTGAACCAACAACCAGTAGTGAAAAAAAAATCATTTGTATTTGTCCTTAAGTGAACCACTCCAGCTGAAATCTGTAGACTTTACAAATGCCTCTCTCCCTCCCCCTGCCCCTCCTCCTTCCCTTCCTCTTCCTCTCCTCTTTCCTCTCTCCCTCCTTCTCCCCAGCTCCCTGTCTCTCCCTCCCTTCTCCCCATTTTTTTGTAACAGGGCTTATATAGCTCAGGATGGCCTCAAACTGGCTATGTAGCCAAGCCTAGTGTTGAGAAAACCATCATAAGTAGATGGTTATGTGATAGGAGGCTGTGGACTGAGGGAGACAAGGGTGGTAGCTCTTTGATTCCTTAATTGGATACTAGAAGTTAGGGCTGATGGATGATTGCTGTAAACAATCCTTGGCACCTGCAAGGGGCAGAGAGTGCTGGAAGATAATCCTAGCAGGTGAAACTTACTTTTGGTCTTAAAAAAAATCTCTATGCTTGACCCACATCTCAGGTGAATTAAGTTAAACCTCTGACAGTGAGGACCAATGAGCAATACTTCTCAAAGCTCTTCAGGTGATTCCTATGTGAAACTGCTAGCGCGAATGCTAAGATGAATAGGACAGGCCTCAGCTAAATTGTATACTTTGAAAGAGTGAGTTTTATGATATGTTAATAATTATATTTCAGTGAAGCTGTTATAAAAATAAAAAATGATCTTTACTCACATGGAACCTAAAACCTGATAAAAGAGTAAATTATCAAAACAACACAGTGAACAGACATGTGTCAAGAAGGTTGTAGAGCAGGTAACAGTAAGAGTTTAGAGAGTGCGGGGGCTCAGGTAGGTTGGGTAGCTATAGATCAGGGCCATTTTAGGCTGTCAGCTCCATAGGATAAGAGCTGGTCTGCAGACTAGACCAGATTTTGCTCACCATGAATATCCATGGGTAGGAAGGTCTGGACAAGTAGGTTGAGGTGGGGAGGAAAGGCTTTCCAGGTAGAGACAGACCTTAACACATCTCTTCCTAGTAATTTTGGGGGAGGATGCTGGAGGAGCTTAAAACATGGTCTCACTTTGTAACCTAGGCTGGCCTCAAACTCTCAATAATCTTCCTGCCTCAGCCGAGGGCTGAGATTACAGGTGTGTACCTGTCCATGTCTAGCTTCTTCCTAGTAACTATTAAAAACTGTCCATTTGTGTAGTACATCTAAGACAAAAAAAAAGAAAAACCAAAAATCCACAAAAAAAACCCCTGTACCCAACAGTTGTAGAACATTATTTTCAAGTACTCATGGGACATTACAAGAACTTACTATGTTCTGAACATAAAAGAAATCTCGGTGTTTCAAGAGTGGGATCTTAGAGAACATGTTCTTAGCTCTAATGCACTAGAAATAATAATAAAAGCTGAGACTGGGGGTTAGTTCAGCTGTACAGCACTTGTATGTATAAGGACTTAAATTTGATCTCTAGCACTGCAAAAAAAAAATTAAAAAATAAGTCAAAATGGTGGCACATGCCTATAATTCCAGCACTCAGGAGGTAGAGGCCAGAGGATCAGAAGTTCAACGTCATCCTCAGCTACATAGGGACTTTGAAGCCAGTCTGTGCTAGAGACTCTCCAAAGGAAAGGGGAGGGGGGAATCTAACTAGAAAAATCTTCCTTATTTGGAATTTATGAATCTCTCTCTCTCTCTCTCTCTCTCTCTCTCTCTCTCTCTCTCCTCTTTTTTTTCCTTGAGATTCCACTTGGGATGGAGGCAGAAATCGGACCATCTCTGTGAGTTCAAGAACCAGCCTGATCTACATAGTGAGTTCTAGGCCAGTGCATCTTCTCCAAAATTCATGTGTTGAAACTTAATAATCAATATAGTAGTATTAAGCAGGGTCACCACGCCCGGCCTCTGACCATCTCTTTAATGATGACCCAAGACTGAATTTCAGGCATGGAAGCACAGCACTCAGAGGCTTAGGCAAGAAGATCAAGAGTTCAAGACCAGGGACTGAGGGCATGGTTCTGTGGGTAAAGTGCTTGCTGTACAAGAATGAGGACTTGAGTTCAGATCCCCAGCACCCATGTAAAAGCCCAGCACAGCAGCCACTCTGGCTGAAAAGGCCAGCTCCAAGTTCCAGCCCTGTCTTAAAGTAAAACAGAAAACCAACCAAACAAACAAAAGAGAAAAAGACAAAATGGTGGAGAGCAAAAGAGGATGATGGGAGGATGTAACCTGTGGTCTCTACATGCGCACAGGCTCAGGCACACTCTTGCGTGTGCATGCACACACACACTAACCCCCCTCACACACACAATAAAGAGTTAAAGGTCTGTGTGGACTATTTAGTGAGTTTGAGGACAGCCTGGATTACATGAGACTGTCTCAAGAAAAAAAATCAAAAATAATAATGATAATAATAAAACTGAGTGTATTTGTATGAGTATATGTAGAGAAATATGTAGGTTATTAACAAAAATGTATATCTTTGGATAGTGAGAATTTCCAATGATTTTTCATTTTCTTTTAAGCATGCAGCATCATTCTTTCCAAAACAGTAGAGCTATTAAAAGACAACTACTATCTCCACAAGTCAACTATCTTCCCTAAGCAGCAAATGTTTCAAGCCATAACCCTCAGAAGAAAGTCCCATCCTTTTCTCCATGTCAGTAGTGCTTGCTTTCTCCTTATTTGGGGGAGGGAATGTAACCACCAGGATCCCTGTAGGAACCTGCTGGCTCACTTAAATAAGGACCGACCAGTTAAGGTTTTTTATGAAAAAGATAGGCCTGGGGGCATAGCTAAATGGTATAGCATGTGTCTAGCATAATGAAGCCAAGAGTCAACCCTCAGCACTGTAAAAAAATATATATACATATATATGTATACATTTTTGAGACAGGGTCTCCCTGTAGCCCCAGCTGGCCTGGAGCTCCCTATGTAGACCAGGCTAGCCTTGAACTCACAAAGATCTGCCTGCCTCTGCTTCTTGAGTGCTGGGATTAAAGGTGTATACCACTACCTGGCCATAAAAAATATTTAAAATATTTTATTTATTATTTTTATTTTATGTGTATGAGTGTATTGCCTACATGGCAAGGACATAGAGATAGAAGACCTCTTATTCATCACTGGTAGGAGTGTAGGCTAGTATAGCCATTATGGAAATCAAGATGGAAGTTTCAAAAAAATTAAAAATAGAACTTCCATAACCCAGCTGTACCATTCCTGGGCATACACCTAAAGGACTCTGTATCTTACCACAGAGAGTCTAGCACATCCAGGTTTATTGCTACATGAATCACAATAGAAATGGAGCCAGCCTAGATGATCATCAACAAATTAATGGATAATGAAAATGTGATATATGTACATAATAGAATTTTACTCAGCTGTGAAGAAAAGATAAAATCATGAAATCTGAAGGAAAGTAGATGGATCTGGAAACTATGATATTAAACAAGGTGACCCATACTCAGACAAAAGTCATGTGTTTGCTCTTGTATGCTGAGATCTGCATATAATGACTATAAATATGTGTATGAGGGGTGGGGTGTGTGGGGATAGGCTATGAAACCAGAAAGAAGACCACGTGAGGGGAACAAAAG